ATTCCTGCTTCTATCTGGACACTAACTTCAGCAGTACCCAGAAGCAGCACTGCTCTGTCAGCCTGTAAGCTGTTTCAGTAACATTTGTTTTGTATTTGGAAAATGTGAGCCACCCAACTCAGCAAAACATAGACCAACCCCAAAAGCTGCAGCTTAGTACAAGGGAGAGTGGAGAACTTCATGAGGAAAGGCAGGGAGGATAAATCCACACTCCACATGGTAAGAGTTAGGTATATCACCACTAGCCTGAGAGTTAAATCTGTAACCTAGCCAAGCCCCGTGTCATGTAACATCTTAGCCCAGGCTTTCCAGCCAGCTTAAAAATCCAAGCTGTCTTGCAAATAGCCAATAGTTAAGGTGTTGTGCCAAAAAATGCTCCTGACGTATAATCTCTGCTTCATAGTAAGCAACAGACCCCTTTGCATTTAAGCTGTGAAGACCGTGACTTATCTAGCTTCAATCCCACAGTGGGGCTCACCTTGTCTGGAGCATCTTCATGGACTGCATGTCCGCACTGTGGGAGGACCTGCATCTGAAACTTCCCTGCGGATCAAGAGAGTCATCGCTGGAGCTGCTTTTTAAATGGTCTTGATTTCTAACAGCAATGGTTTAGGCAAGCAGTTCTTGCGTACACAGGAAACATCAGACACTACACCCTTAAAAGCACTGTGAATTTATGAACTTGTCTAAAAAGGATCTCACATTCTTTACAAACAAACCTCACTAAATCTCACTGTATGCATCGGGCAAAGAGCGACCAGGGAAAGCACAGGAATCTAAAGCAAACTGTACAATGCACACAGAAGACAGTTTCAATAGAAAACAAGAACTGGCTGTTTAATTCATCTTCCCCAGGTGTAACTAGAGGAGGTTCCCAGGAGTTAAAATGAAGTTAAACATTTTAGAGCTTCTCGACACAGGTGAGACTACCTTTCAGAGCTGAAACTGTTATCAGATCTACCTTAGTATAATGTTTAACCTGCTACCCAATACTACTTTCCAGTACTGGTTGCTCTGGAAATCAATGAAGCTGGGATGGGGGAAAAAAAAAAACCCAAACCAAAACATTAATGCAGATGCTGAATTTGTTGTCTGATGTCTGCCAGAAACACCGGGAGATCAGACAGTTTTGGAAGGTCCCAACTGTTCCAGCTAGAAACATCAGGAATGTAGTTAGAAAGGGAAAAAACTGATTAGAAAGAAACCCTAACAGACAATCATTCTGATCCAAGAGAAGCGTGGCAGCCCCATCTCTGGAAACATTGAACGCCAGACTGAACACAAGCCATGGCAACAGCCCTTCACAAGTTCTCATTCAACCTTTCCCTTCTCAACTTCTCCACCTTTCCTACAACCACAGCCAGTTAGAGAACACTTTGGGATGGACTAGTTCTTTAATGCACATTTGTTTCGATATAGACTGCAGGTGAGAGGCCATTCCAGCTACCTCTCATTCGTGTACCCATAGCAACAAGCTATCTTCCAAAAAGAGCATTACAGTAAGGATAGAGTAACAATATTAAATATTTACCTTGCATCTGTCCAATTGTTAGATCTTTATCCAGCCTGTCAACACCTACAATCAAATAAACAGATGTATTGGAGAAAAGCCAGAGAGAACATGACTATCTAAGCAGGGCTTTACTCGACATTTTGAAGGAGACATTTGGCTTGAAAAACTCAAGAGACACATCATCTCTGACACCCACAAGGACTTTTCACTGCTGCACCTCAAGAGAGTAAAGTGACAAGAAAGAATCCCAGCCAAAAATTCAAGAATACATCCTTCCCCACAACTTAGAAGGGTATTTATCTTGTTTATCTTGGTTACACACTTACTTTCCCATCAGGGCACATAAAGGGCCTACAGCTGACTGTAGAACATCAATAATTTGACTTTCAGTTGAAAAGTTCAAATCACACCCACATCTGTAGGAAAATATCATAGCAGTGGAGGCTGAAGGACAGCTTGGATCTGTCCTGTTTGCTCTTCTTCCACGTCATACAACAAAACACCCATCCAACAGCAGCAATACATGTGCTATTTTGATACTAGAGACTCTGAACTAATTCCAGATCTGCACGGATCAAATAGTCTGATTTATGGTATTTCAAGATACACAGAAAAGTCAAGGCAGAAGAGACAGATCTGCTAGTCTCAGAGAAAGACATTAGCCAAACACTGACCCTATTCTCTAAAATACAACTGGGACATCACTGAAGTGAACAGCCACAGAACCTAAACAGGACTGGAAGAAACACGTACCAGCTAAAAGCAAAAGCTTTGGAGTTGGACAGCTTAGGAAGAGGTTAGATAAACCCCTGAACCACCCATCCCAGTACTTTTCTGTTTTCGCCAGTTCAATTCGCCACGTGTATAAGTGCTCCTTCTTTGTCTGCAGAGAGAAGAGAGAGCTCTGCATTAGTGATCAGTAAAACAGCTGAAATAAAATGAACTCAGAGTGCCACTTGGAAATATATATAAAAAATACTGGCTCCCTCTGGTGGATTGCACGCTTCCAGGGGATGACACTCCTTGCTCCTAAATTTCTCCCCAAATCACAGCCAAAGTACACAAGTAAGGAACAAGAAAGTCAGCAGGAGCTACACATATAGATGAAGAGAAGGCTGCAGTTTTCAGGGCACTCAATTTGCTATTTTTTACTGGCACAAATAGCTCACAAATTGTCTGAACGTCCAGACTTGGCTCTTACTTAGGTGACACAGAAATGAAAGGGGCTAAACTGGCTACAATGATTTTCCTTGAGGAATTTACATTCCTAGCTTGCAAGTGCCTGTATGATCTCCTGAATGCTACTGTGCCTTGGAAACGAACAAAAATACCACAAAGACTCAGAAAAGAGCATTCCTCATTCAGGCCAGAAGCCCCATTTCAGGCCATCTGCATTAAATCTGTGAGCATCTCAGGAAAGAAAACCAAACACATGCTTTCAGGTGACAGTCCAAGATAGAATCAGTGGCACGAGACAAGTAAGAAAAACAACAGTCACAATACGAAGTTTTCGGTCCCTGGAGTTGCTCCTTTTTATATCAGAATGATTTGGATAGCTATGGGCTACTTCTCTTGCAAGGGAGTATCGTGCAAACACAACCTGAAAACACAGCAAGAAACTCCCTACCTCTGTGTCATCTTCTTTCTTCCTTTTGTTGACAGAGCCTCCCCCTTCCTCATCTTCTTCCTCCTCCTCCTCTTCTTCAATAATACCCTCCACTATGGCTTTAGGACATTCAGGACTGGCAGCCCCTTCACACCTGTGAAAATAAACCCAGAAACTTATTCCCTGCCACAACTAAAACCCCCAGGTTTTAACCTAAAGTGGTCAGCAATTTCTTAGATACTGGCTGAGAAAAATGCCCCCAAATTTAAAAGTAGCTGTAGATGAAAGATACAGTCATGACTAGCCATGGGAATGAGTACCTGTGCAGCACATATATCCCAGTGCAAAAATAAATGCGAACAGCTACTTAAAGGAGGCAGAAATGGTCAAACAATCACCAACAGCTTTTCTTAACGGAGTATGAGACATTTGCAAAGGCTCCTGGTATGGTAAGGATTAGAGTGGTACAAGCAGGTTACTCTGATCCCTGCAAACCCACGACAGATCACTCCCAAAACGCAACAGATAATTAAACAATTTCTAAAAGGAAGTGAAAGATACCATAACCACAAGGCCAACCCAACTTAGGGCAAAATTTCTGAAGAGGCATCAGACTAACACTTATTTCTTAATGTGTGAGGAAAGGCAGACAAACCAAGGAATACACAACCAGCAGCAGTTAACTTTTTAAAACATGGCTCTTGGCAGATTTTGCCCCAGGGAAATTCTGACCAGGTTTTCTCCAAGTGCCATGATTATGATTCAGCGCTGCTGCCAGTAACAACTGTGGTCAAGTGATAAGAAATTTGTATTTGCTAGAAGAAATTTTCACTTCCAAGTGCATTTATGCTCTGTAGCAACAGTATTGTAAAACAGACACGATGATTTTAAGAGCTTTAAAAAAAACCAAACAAACCACCTACTGTTTGACTTGACCGACCATAGAAACTCTGGCAGATTCAAGATTTCTTATTTGTCCACTTTTTACACTAGAAAAAAAATCGGAGAAGGGCAGACATAGTTACTAACTAGCAGGCCTAGAAACAGGAGCAAAAGCCCTTTACAGCTCACGATTTCCCCAAACCACTCCCAAACCTCCTGTTCTCAGAAGGCATTCGGAGTGGCTCACACTACATGCCAACTTACTTGAACCCCCCGTTGTCACTGTAACTGTGAATTTAAAAGACATGTGGGAGAAGTGCTGCCGGGGAAACAGTGAAATAGGGTTATGCCCATTTAATGACAGGAAGAGATCAGAAACTACATGGGTATTTGGTAACAGAACTGGGCTTCCTGTAGTCCAATCTACAAACTTAACCACGAGGCCTCTCCCTTTCAAACTCAGCTGCCAAATGCATAAGTAATTCTTGCTGAATCGGAAGTAAGTCCTGTTTCTTACACATGGGATGGATGTCTCAAGCTTCTTCAGTAATAGTTGGGACACTTACAAGGAAGCTGCAATTCATACCATCAAGCTTTCCATTAGTTGAAGCTCTTAAGAGGATCCTTCTCCAATGCCTAGCCAACCCTCCCAGGAAATTCATTACCTTTGAGACCTCTCTCCCTGTCAAATTAGCCAAGGAATTGGTGACAATAGTTGGGGAAGTGAGTACAGAAGGAGAAAACAGACAAATTATATAAACTTTGTTTCCTTCAGGAATCAAGCTACAACGTTGATTCTGGAGACTGCATAAGCCCATCCATTACCTCCACTCAATGGCATTCTCAAGTGACTTGAATGTTTTGGGACGACTCCTTAAGAAGTTCTGCATGCTGTTCAACGCATCCATGGCTGTACCTAAAAACAAGTATTTAAACTTTATGACATCTGATGAAATAATTGCCATGTCCCTCTATACAGAACTGGCTACCGGGGAACACCCTCAGAGAGATTTAATGCTGTTAAGGAAAGTATAGCTCAATACTCCTAAGCCTACAGTCATACCTGTTCCCACATTAGAGAATTAATATTTGAACAGGCAGGACATTCAGATAGTAAGAGAAGGCAGTAACCACTCATCAGCACCATGCATTATATAAAAAGCCACCCTTCTCCCTGCTAACAAGAAAGTGTTGCAAAGAAATGATCAGGAAAATAGCAAACAGAGAGCCCACCTGGGAAAAGCAAAAGGAGGTGTCACACTAGAAAGACTTTTGTGTAGGTAGCATCTGTTAGGAGGATGGAATTGGCATTGGTTTAAAAACTGGGCAAAACTTTCTGTATTCAGGGATTTGGGGATGAAATAGAAAGATCAACGTGGAATGCAGAACCCCATCCAAGGGTACAGAAGCCTATCCAAGGGTACACACACTTACCTTCCACAACATCGATCATGCACAGACCCAGTAAACTTGGCACCAAATTTGCGACCGCCGTGTGCACTGCGATGGCACCTCCCATGCTGTGCCCAATCAGCATGATAGGGGGAGGAAGATCCCCATACAGAGCTTCAACCACGTTTCCAACGTCTCTGCCAAATTGAGATAAAAGTACGGTTGGCATCTCTACCTTGATACATTTCTGAAGCAGATTTGTACAATGGGAGGAGAAAGTACAGATCCAAGATAGATGTCCGGCTTCAAATCCTCTCTGTATGCTCATTTAACCCACAGGTAACTGAGACAAGTTTATTCTCTTATCACTGTTTCATCTAGGCACCAACACAGGAAATCATTCAAGCCAATACTTTCCTGAACAAGCATGTAATTTCCCTTTTTATTAACAGAAAGTGCTCATCTAAAAGAAATCCCTGAAGACATCATCTTACATTGACATTAGCCAGCTGGAATTTTAAATCAAAGGTGCGAAAGCTATCAAATTCTCTTGCATGGAAGCATAGACTAAGAAATTCACTGTTCTGAAAGGAGAAACCTTTTGCAATTAAAGAGAGAAAATAACTGAGCTCTACTGACCAGGGCAAAAATAAACAACACCGAGCACAAGCAAAAAGATTCAGACTCTCTATAAGCACAGATACTCCAAGGCAAGGGGCAATTTCCCTGTCCTTTCCATAAGGCACCTACTTTAAACTGAAGCTGTCACTGCAGTATGTGAAAGCTGGCTGGTGCGATTCACAAAAACAAAAACAACAGCAGAGATAATGATTGAAATCTGCTGAAGAGCACTGTAGTTTAAGACACCCAAATTGGCTTTCCTGACTAAAATCGTTCAGAGGAACCAAAGACCTGAGCAGTATTGCAACTAGAAAATGGAAAACAAGTCAATAAAAAAAGGTTGACCAACTTATTTGCTCTGTCAGAGAAAACTGCTTGAAGATTTGATTAAAAAAAAAAATGAAAACCAGCTATAATTTAAGGCTTCCATTTAAAAGCTCTTCAGGAATAACTTTCAAGCTCATTGCTAAGAGGAGAGAAAGGTTTAAAAACAACAGGCAACTTGTTTTCCCTCCACGGTAGTGCTGCTCCAGATCTAAAAAATTCTAATTATTTCATACAGCATCTCCTCAGGACAATAACACATCAGGATCTGACAAGCCATAAGCAGTAGCAGTAAGGTATACAATGGAAGTCAGAATACATTTCACACATGGCCTCCCCACAACAAACCAAGTGGATTTGTTCATACGAAGGTCACAAAATCCTTCGTGATTTAATTGCAGTCATAGCAAAGAGTCTCTTTGTACTAAATGTGGACATAATGTAATGTGCTTAGCAGTGGGTATTTGCTTTTCTTACAGCTTTGTCAAGAGGGGGATTTGCATCCCAAAGCAGGTCGTGATAGTTTGAAAAAGCAACTCCCTCCACGCTTGAAAGTCTCAGTCCGTGACCCAGACTTTGGGGATGCTGCCAGTCCGAGGCAGGCATGCTCTGAATACTCGCTCAAGGAGCCGAGAAGAACCGAGAAACTGGTGATTTCAAGCTAAAACGCCCCAGTCAGTTATGTCCGAGGAAAGCATTCCCCTTCTATTAGGAAATCTCTAGCAAGCGTTATAGCGTGTTGCAGGTTTGAAGTGTTCACTGCAATGAAGCCACTGATCTTTAAAGTGAGTTTAAAACTGAGGGCACATAGAGAATGGCTCCAGTTTGGAATCTGACTCAGCTGGAAGCGGTATCATTTCAAATAAATTTCAAACTGTCCCAAAATGGAAGGAAAAGAAGGGATAACTACCAGAATCATGTGAAATGAAACTATCTTCCAGCTCCCTTGAACGAAGGTTGTGTGTCCTCAAGTAGTTTATTGTTCCATCAAGGAAAGAAAATAAAGGTTTGTGAAAAGTGAAACACTGAAGAGAGAGCATAAGCTTCCTTACTTTGACATAGTCTCTGCAGACAGATCTTCAGCATTCCTAACTTTTGTTTCTCCTGAAAGACAAAAAAAGTTAAGTTCATGTAAGCTGAAAACTTTCAATCCCCTCAGGACTTAGAGCAGCAACTGTACAAAGCTTTTTGGCACAGTTATTAAGAGCAAGCCTACTGCAGTTAACATGAATAATTAAGAAACCCAGAATTAATAGGAACGGTTGGTACTTTGTCGCATTATAGCTTACGGGTAGGAAACGCTCCCCATAACTGTTCCATATTTGCAATGTATCTTAAAACTAAAGAACAGATCTTATTTCTAATGGTAAAGACCACCTATAGGTTATGAAAATACAAAGGAGGGGGTTGGTGCCAGTATGTAGGAAGGAACAAGTCCACCACTGCCTCGCACAAAGGCACAGGGAGTCTCAGCTTCTGGCATGTGAGGACAGGCGGCTGCGGAGCTCTAGGAGCCACTTTTCCATCCCTGCTTTTGAATAAAAATTGGGATGCCTTAAGGATGCTTTCTTAGTCATCTCAGGAGGGATTCATTACATCTTCTTTAAAAAACAAGAGTGTGTAACATGCTTTTGTGATTTTAAATGTATTTATTTTACTTACCATGGCCTCGGAGATCTAAAGCCACAATCCTACACTGAATCCTGTTAACGATTGCAGACTGTAAGAAGGGACAAAGATAATATAATTTGCAAAGTGCCACGCCTCATCTACAAAAGGATTAGCAACATTAAGCACTCCCTGAAACAACAGCAAAGGCTCGGATGGTGCAATAAAAACCCTCTACTGTCAAAAAAGTGGCTGAACCTGGATTGTATGAGGTGTCACAGAAAGCAAGAAAGAATATTCCATATAAACTATCCTTAATTAACCAAAGCTCCATTCTTTCCACCATTGTTAACATTTATTTCACTGTGCATAAGACATTACACAGGGTAATTAATTCAAGCGCTGTAGCACCTCTGAAAACTGAAATGAAGCAGTGGGATTACAGACACCAAAGTAACGCCCCCTTTCCCCAAGCCCCACGTTACAAAATTAGTCTTGGCTATACAGCAGACATGAAGATGTAGCAGCTGCTTTATAGCACACATTCAATTTGCTCTCAAAGAACAGAATTTTACAGTAAGGCTGAAATGTACAAAAATTGATTAGTCCAAAGGGGTTGGGGGGAACAAGTGAGGAATCTCTTTAAAGTAAGGTAGGGTTGCAACATGATTATGGCTCTATTTGCCCCCAACAGCTCAATTTACTTAAGTTATTTCAGGCATCACAGTGATTAAGTGGCATTCTTTGTTGAAAGGAAGACTTTTCTGTTAAGGAATCATTGATTATTTAAATAACGGCCCTGTAGGAGTGGGGGAATTTGTTGAGGGATTCTTAATAGAACCACCTACATAATGGGGAGAGATGTGAAAGCTACCCAGTCCCCATATTTTGGTTGTTCAGCTATACAACTCCTATATGACTGTAGCAGTTGCTCTCCCAAAAAACACTGAATCCACAAGTTAATATTTTAGAGCCCCTAAAGACACCCTGAAACCTCAATCTGCAAGGTGCTTATGCACCTAAGCAATAACTTAACTAGTCAGAGGAGCAGTCTATTGCTAAAAATCACACTATTGTCAGTAGGGAGCAAGGAAAGAGGATCATCAACATGATGTGAGAGAATGGGAAGCTTTCTAGTGCCCTCAGTTTTATCCAAATAGGAGTACTTTGGCCAAGAGAAGTACAAACACATCATCCAGGAAGTTATCAGGCCAATAAGCAAAAGAATAAATGAGCACACCACTCCTGCAGGCTGTTGTTTTATTTATAGATGGTTACTGTCAATGCTTCCCAGTTTGGGTTTCTTCATGGTTTTTTGGGGGAGGGGTTGTTTGGGGTTTTTTTTTAAGTTCTGGTTCATCCCAAACATTTAACACTTGATTGCTTGAGACAAACTTTCATTTCAAAATGCACAAAGGAAGTAATTCTACAGCAGCCGCACAAAGGCATGAGCCAATTGTTGTGGCAGTTTCTTCCTCCAGATGCAGTCTCAAGTGCAAGGCGTAAATCTACATGAATCTTGTGTATGATCTAACTTCATTAATTGCTAACAGTAACACAAAAAGCTATAACTGTAAGGTACGGTGTTATAACTGCAATCACTCTGATAAATTCAACTCTGGAGATTTTTAAATGTAAAAATGGTATTGATGTTGCTATTGGAAATACAGAGCTCTAGAGAGGGTGGAAGTGTCTTCTAAGAAGACACTTTCCTTAACTCAGAAAAACATGACTTCATACCTCTTGCCTCCAATTAAAAGCAGTCACCTTCACTACATCTGTTTAAGGCACTTGTATACTATAACAAAAACACTAAACTAGCAGAGGAAAAGACATCCGTCCATCTTGGCAACTAATGAGCTACAAGCAAGTAACTACAGCATTTAGTAAGACAGAGATTTAAGACTTAAAGTTCAACAGTTTCAGAAGACCCATATCTGTACCAGTCTCTGGCTCAGCTCAAGTTACAAATGAACTGTTAGATGTAAAACTACTATTCAACACCAAAATTACAGCCCAGCCAGCAAAGTATTTTTCTAATGTGTCTCATCATAATATAAGATGGTTTGTGATTACACCATCAGGATTACTCAACAGTAGTCATGTTGGGAATTCAAGAGCACTTGGTAGTGACTTTTGTAAAATGTTCATTCTTGTTACTCATTTGAATCTCTGCTTAAAGGCTAAGTGATCTACAGCCCACCAAACTGCTAAAAGGTAACAAATATGACACAGCCAAAGGCACAGGGGAGACGTAGAGACTTCATCTGTCCAGTCACACTTCCATGAAAGTCATCCTATAGCATCCTTCTGTTAAGGGCACTAGGCAGCTCGAAGAGTTTCTGGATTAAAACGGTCCCAAATAAAAATCACACACTGCAAGTGATTTTACTTTACTTGAAATCCTTTAAAAAAGTTTTCTTTCTTAACTCCCTTTATTTTTTAAAGGGAATGGGTGGGGGGAGGAATTTTGGTTTGGTCAGTCCCCACGCTCACTCCTATTGACACCACCTCAGTTTGTGTTTCAGAGAGTTGCTTGAGCAGCAAATGAGATTTCTCGACAAGTCAAACAGGACCTCAACCATCCAAAGATAATATCGTTATGATGAGATAAACCTGTTGAACTTTCACCGGTAGTCATGGAAAAGCAGCCTTCTGAAAAAAAGATTTATACACTATGATGAGAAATGTCTTGGCACTTCATTAAAACATGCAAGCTATTTGGCAGATGCAGTTTTGGTTAATTTGGTTTGATAATTAAAACCTAGACGATAAACCTTTGCATGTGCTTTGCCTATTTAATAAATACACTGACAGTGAAATATTTAGAAGACTTGAGTCAGGTGCGCACCAGGAGACAGTATTCTGAATTGATTTTCCTGTGCTTAACGTAGCTGAATAGTTAGTTGTATTCCATACTCAGATGACTATATTTGCATACATATATACTTCTATAAAGCAGCAGCTTACTTACAGTAAATACAGCCCAGGAAAGAGCGGAATGGCCTCCACCGTGTAACAGCAGTAAGACAGGACCCTCCAATCCGCTTTTGTAAATTCGAAAAGTGTATGAACAGTTAAGGACATTTCATAGAGTTATTTGAAGTAAGTTACTTAGCTGAATGTATTTTGGAGCCTGCAATACCCAACAGTGTTTTGTTTCTACCCTTGTGTATGTACCCAAGGCCTCGTTTCTGCCTCTGATCAACAGGCATGTGCAAGCATAACCTGGACAAAACTTAACCTGCTTTATTTAAGTTTCAAGAGTTGTCTTCCTGCTGCCTAGGTCTGCTGCTCCCTGTAATCCATGCATCTCCTGCCCGCACCCTTTTCCCCCTGTGCACAACAGTGAATTGAATAAGTAAAAGAAAAACCAAACCAGGATCAGCATGCACTTTGGAGCATGTACATTATTTCCAAGGGAAAATGTCAGATAAGCCAGTAAACAAGATTTTTAGGGCAATATAATTACTTTCTAGAACATACACAGCAAAGACGTTTCATCATGGTACCTAAAGTCCCCTTGCAGCATATACGTAGACACTGAAAAATCAGTTTAACTATCACTAAAAACAATGTCACTCAGAAAAAGGCACAGATCTGGCAGTTGTGAGATCTGTGTTCAGCGCCCAAAACTGCGACCAACAGATCAGACAAGTCCGTCCATCCCCTTCCACTGTTCTCCCTCTGTTCTTGAGGTGGACAAAAGCATTCCTCTAAATCTAACCATGCTAGCTGTGGTTACTGACCAAGCTGTTCATTGTTTTTCTGCTGAATACTGTGGTGCCCTTTGGAACTGCTGTTTGCAAACAGTTCACGCAGGTGCTCCCTACACCATTTTAGTTACAGTGAGCTGTGTCAGCTTAAAACAGTTTCATCAGCTGGGGTTTGTTCACACAAGGAGATCTGATGGATCAGTAACAGGTAGCTGGGGCAGAACAGTGGCTACCAACGCCATTCGTTAATTCAGCTGCTTCCACAGTACACATCTGTCCACAACCTTTCATACAGGAGCTCAAGCTTCTGTTAAAGGTCACAGGTAACACAAAATACTAAGATTTGCTTAAATTTGGGATGCTTATGTATACCACCTATGCAAATAGGTCCATTATCCTTTTTATTATTTATGAAGCCTCAGGGGTGTGCACAGCCCTTACATCACAGGCAGACAGGGTGCCTATCATGAAGAATTCATAGGATCAATTGGACAAATGCAGTTAATAAACACAAAATAATGACAAGCTGAGCAAAACAACATGGAGAGAGAATTTTCTCATTTCAAAGCATCACATGCTACTGGCATTAGAGAAGTAATTACTAAATTGGTATTTGGACAGAAATAGCTTGAAAGTCTGGTTTTCCTAATGGCCAAGCTAGCATATGCATGCTTAAAAACTATGCAACTATTTAAACTACAAGGTTGTGTTATTTAAACACAGATTAAAATGTTTTCATTTTGTAATTAGGTCAAAAGACCTGGAAGTACCTCTCAAACCTGCTTTTGTCCGAGCTGGGACACTGGTCTTGTCCCAGTACCTTTACACACTGTACTTGTTGGGGCACTCCCAGTTAGCAAGTGGCCTGGATGCAACAGCGGTTTGAGCACCTCAAAGAGGATGACTGCCATCAACTGGATTAAACAGTAACTGGAAGACTGGCAAAGAGGATTCAGCTTGAAAAGAAGTATAAAAGAAACATGAACATTTGCAAAGGGGGCAGGGATCTCGGAGAGGAAACAGCTGCAGTCAAAACCTGGTTTGACACTGCCAGAAGACTCTCTGATGGCATCACTGCCTCCGCCTTGGCCAGAGCGAGAAGTTTCCCTGTCTGCACACCAGCTAGTGGACTGACAATTTGGGGTGCAACAAGTAGGGACCCACACCTCAGGTGTATATATATGACCTCATGTGGTGCTTTCTCAGCATCATTTGCATTCGTGGGAGCAGCATGGGTAGCATCCACATCTCCCACAGGAGATGTGCACAAGCAGGAGATCCCGCAGTCCCAGAGGAGACCGTGTGCGCTTGTAACCCACCCTTCTTGGGGGTGCGTATGACTGTGCACGTATGTTTGTTTGTGCGTGTACAAGAAAAGAACTTCCTGGGATTGGTTGTAGAAAGGCGTTTAGAAATTTGCAGGTATTTATTAAGATCTAAGTGTTTAATGTTGAAGTTTATCTGCTGTACTGCTGATACTGATTCTGAACATGCAGTTCACTGATTGCCAGTTAACTACCTGTTGTTAATAAAAATGAATAAACAGCTTTGATCTTGATATGGTTTAAACTACGGGAACTGATGAGTATTTCCTTGCAATATATGTTATTGAACTGTTGGAAACACTTTTTAAAATGAATGATTACTAAAGAAGCAATACCAGGAACTGACCTTGCTAGGTACATCTTAAATGTCAGCTTAGAAGGGATAGCTCTAGTTACTGATACTGATCCCTACAGAAGAAAAAAATGGAAGATGAGAAGAAATACATGAAAAAGATGACGAGAACCCCAATAAACTCAATTATAAACTTAAACATGATAACGCCCCAGTCACTGAGAATAAGAAAAGTTCAATCTAGAAAAAAGGATATATCCTTGCCAGTTTCATTTTCTACCACAACATCCTCCATAGATTCAAAGTACTGGCTCCAAAGCACTGGTGAAAAATCACGCTTCCTTCCAGGGCTGCAAGACAGGAAAAAAAAAAAAAAAAATCTTCCATTTACATTGGCATACAGACATCATTACATACATCGAAGAAAATACACCGGTGTTACACAACAGTTTAGGACTGGAAGCAAATGATGCATCAGTGAAATTCCCATACAACTACAATATTAGCGATTTTATGGTCAGTAAAGAAATCCTCCTTTCCTTGCCCCCCTCTTCCCCCCCCAATTATTGCTCCTATTGAGGAGATCACAAAGATGCACAGGAAAGCCAGTGGAGACACAAAGAGAAGAATATTTTCCTCATAAAGCAATACCAAGGAAGACTGAACAATGGCAATTTAGACGACACAGACATAAGCCAAGGGAAAAGAAAAAGAACAGGGCACACAGTGATACTGTCCCAGTACAATCTCCCAATCTGCAATGACCCACAGATCAGGTGCTTCAAAAGTCAGAGTCAAAAGTCATTAAATACCTTTGTATTTAATGGTCTTGCTCTAGCCTTAAAGCAAGCCTGATGCTGACATGACTGGGAGCACTCCAGTGCCTGGAACACAGGAAGCCATCCTAAATTTGTGACTCAGCCCGTGAATCATAATTAAAAAAAAAAAAAATGTCCCTCTCAGAAGTCACCTTGACACCACAGTATTGAAAAGCAGAGTGTCAGCTATTTACTGAAGGTTACTACCAATTTTCCATGTACTACTTGTCATGAGATTACAACTTTCCCAGAAACCTCCTCTAATCTTTGGAAGAAATATCATTCAAACAGAAAGTCAACCTGTCCCGATGGCTGAGTGGCTGGTAGAAAAACTACCGAGAGAACTGAACAGTGTGGTATATAGAAGAAATTTAGAAACACTAAATAAATAAAATCCACCAGGTTTAAGTTAACAGCAGCAAGTTTTAATTACAGCTCAAGTTTCCCGGAATTTATTGCAACGGTTAAAACTTTAACATATTTGTAAACAGATCTAGTATTTAAATACTGTACGTAGGGCAACATCAGGACTGTGAAGGAAAAGAACAAGACCAAATTAGTTTGGTATATGCTTCCATATCTATCCTGCTGTAGCTAAATATAAGGACCATGAGACAGCATCACAATAAAGACCAATAAACAATAAACACTCCTCAAGCTGCCTTCCTCCGTGTTTCCGTGTTCTTAGAGCTACACAGGCAACTGTCTGTGATTCTGAAAATATCCTATAATAAAAGCATTTTGTTAGGAAGGATGCTATCAAGTCCAGCAATGCAAGTAAAAGGTAGTGAGCCCAAAAGGCTAAAATTATTTAAAAAAAAAAAAAAAAGGTACGCTCTTTAAAAGCTGTATTTTAAATTAAGGATCATAACAACAAGACTGCATAACACAGATACCACACGAGAATGGGCCTTCAGGCTCCAGTTTGCTCCAGGCTTTGCACTTATTCCCAGGTTGCTGTAATTCCTTTAGAAGTCATAATCTACCCATACAGAAACACTGCTTTAGTGTCATAAAAAAAAAAATACCCCAGGAAAGTCAAATCTGGTCAAACACATTCCAGTAACCAGAGACTTCTGGATGCCCAATTCTATCCAGCACAAACTAGGGAGCTAGTGGCCAGAAGCAAGATTTCTTCTTCTATCGCATCGTTTGCCAAATACTGAAGAATGAGCACTGCACAGGCAAGAAAATCATAATGGTGGACACCGAGGGAAGAGAAGGTGCTTTGGAGATGGACCAAAACTATTGTGTTAAAAGAGGACTCGGTGCTACCTGTGGACTGCTTCGTGTGTAGTAACTACTTCTACCTGAAGAGGTTTCCTCCTTTTGTGTAAGCTGGCATCTTCCCACCAGTGCTCCTCATGCCCAGGGAATAATACCTGAACAGAGGCAGTAAAGCAAAGCCTGGTTTTCCCAGTAACACATTTCCAAAAGGTGAATCACAGTCGTTATTCCCCATAAGCAGTGAGACTCATCTCCTCTTTATAATAAGGCTGATTTCTGTCGCAGTTAGTTGACAGGTACACCGCAAAGCACTGCAACAAGTTACGCCTTAAATTAGCTGCCTTAAATTAGTACTAATGTTAGGTCATATCCAGCACCTTAGGGAATTCAATTCCCCTAAATTACTGGGTGGATGCAGAAGACCTGTTCTGTGAACATCATATAAAACAGCACTCTCAAAGGTGCCCAGCTGAAAAACTAATTTATTTTTCGCTTCCATCAAAAGGTGCAGCTGTGCCCTCTCCTTGTATCCCCATTACTAACAAAAGGCTCCGCAATCAGAATTTTCCTGATGACTCAGTTGATGCAAAATCTGTTTCTCAGGCTGATACTCACTCAGTAAGACTAAAAGAGTAGTGCTTAATTTTGGCAGTGACATAATTAGGCTAGATTCAAGCCCAGTATACAGGATGAGTAACCGTGCATTTTAACAGGCTTTTTGCATTTCAACTCTTCTGGGGGAGGCAATCAGCACAGAATATTAAAACCAAGCATGGGCGTGGGGGGTGAAAGACCTTCACAGAAGAAAAATTCTGTTGAAGGAAGTTTCTCCTGAATTCTTGGCTTCCTAAAGAAATAAAGGAACAGACAAAGCAGCTTTTCAATTCTGTAGAAACAAAACTCCTCTTTCCCCTGATATTTCTAGAATATGAAACATAAAATAACCACCCCTGAAGGGTCCAAATTCTCTTCTGTGGGTTTCCAGACTTCAGTATTTTTCTTGTCAAATTTCAATTAAATAAAGTGAGATGTCATACACCTACATAAATCCAGAAAATATTAATCTCTTTTACTGCCTCATCTTAATCTCATTCTCTGATTCAAGAAAAAATTTCACATTCAAACTTTAGCCTTTCAAAGAATGCTGTAGGAAGAACAGAGCGATATAATATCAAGATGACAAGTTGTCGTAATATTGGGAAGAACCAAGCAGACCTGCAGAGGTGTCCAAGTATCGAAGGAAGGCAGACAACATTTGCTGCGACACTGATAAAACATCCTGCTAGGAAAAACATAAACACAAAAACTCCCAGTGCAGGTCAAGATTAAAAAAACAAATAATGCTGAATTTCATAAGCAAGAATTTGGTATGAAATACAGCAAACTCATATTATTGATAAGAGCTTCAAGCTACCTGACTTACAATTGGTTTATCTTCTAGGACCACAAGAATCGGTATGATGAGAGACAGCAAAGGTTCATCCAGCTCTGCAACGTGTCACCAAGAGATGCCAGCACAGCAAGTGCTCTGGAAAGGGTTGAGTAGGGAACAGGGTCTGACCTGCCTCCCAATTTTCACTATTAGCAGAATGGGGATCTCCAGAGGCTGCATCCTCAGCACTGTGTTGCATTAAGAGAGGGCAGTTTCCATTAGCTCATCACATAAAATACAAGTCACCTCCAGCCAGAGCTACTTCCACAACATCTGTGACAACGGTGCCACAATTTAATTACGCTTTGAGCAAAAAGGAGTATTTCTGTTTGCTTTTAAGCCCACACTATGATAACGGTTGCCTGTTCTTTACAACATTAATGACTCTATACACCCCTATCATATATCTCTTGCCTGGGCCATGTATTTTTCAAGCCGAGAGTCCTACTCTGTTGATCGTCTCCTTGCCTGGAAGCCATCCTAGGCCCGATGACGCTCGCTCTCCATCTCATTTCTGATTCTTTCTAGAGATGGAGAGAACTGCCCACAGCTTGGATGATTTCCCTTCTCCGGTCTTTGAATAGGCAGGATGTGCAGTTAGCGACAACAAATCTCATCACCCTTTTAAAATGCAGCATTTCAACACAGTAAGACTTTTCCATAGCATGTTACAGCTGGTTTTAGGTTTGATTGTCCTGAGTAATTCCAGGTGATTAGCAAATATCGTCATCTGCCTGGCTACACACCTTCCAACATAATCCATAAATCTGGTAAACAGCAGGAACTCTCTGGTAACCTCCCCTATATTGTGACACCAGAAAGTTTGTAAGTGGGCTCTCTTACCTATGAGGGAGGCAGAACATGGGGAAATCCTGGAGCAAGTTGCTGATTAATTTTATCACGCCAGATGAAGAGGCTTGGTTGTGTGACAAATTAAACCACTTTTGTGAAAGCAGGGTTACAGTACGTACAGCCACTATTACACAAGGCAAGGGAACACAGTAGTCTGTGTAGACTAGTGCAAGGACATTAAACGCGTATTTTGTAGGAGAGGTATGAAATCACGTGAATCATCAGTAGCACAAGTTTGGGATATTTAGAATCAAAATTTTGATGTATGGCATTAGTGAATGCTTCAAATTCAGCTTAACAAGAGTTAACACCTCCAGAGAAAATGTTAGTAGTTGTGTCTCATGTATGAAATATCTGAGAACAATATATACCAGAACTCCTATGTTTGCAGGAGAATTGGAGCAGAAAGTGAAGAGGAGCTGGGAATTAAAAACTATTGTCACCTCCAATGCAAATACATGCAAACTTTAATTTAAAGCAAAATACTTGCCTCCAAACAAAATGTAAGTGACCTCTCATTTAATAGTGAACCCTGAAAAGGGCAGAATAAACACGTAGTTTTCCACAAAACACCTGGTGACCGCAGGAAGCTGGGCAGTGGCTGATTTCAGAGAAACATTTCTCCGAAGAAAAGAATTAGTATCTTTGATTTGTTATTTTTCCTAGAGCTTCTTTTTTTAGCGATACATCAACACACATTCAAAATTAGAAGCAAGCCCAATAAACAGCAGCTGTGATTTTGCACCTTCCTATGCTGAAGCAGTATTTTGCTGACCAAATATTTAAACTGACAGAACTAATTACTGCTTTTTAAAGTATCCGGCAGAAATGGATCCAACATAATAACTTCTCTAGAATGATCCTTAAACTCCAAGCCAGCCAGCCAGCATATTAAACTGGAATCACAAAACAAATTCTGGGCACCCTTTATAGCTAGTTTTACCCTATTGTGCAGTTTGTCCTCTTCATCACGTACTGAGAACGTGCACATACTGCAAGCGACCCCAGAGCAACACGAGCC